CCGCTCGTTCTCTGGGTCCTACGCAGAGGTGATCTGTTCCCAGGCTGTCAGTCGTCTCCTCAGCCTCATCAGATCCACAACCTCCTGGCTCTTCGCGTTGTCTCGGTGTCACAGTACAAACTGGGATCGCCACGGGTGCGATTCCTTTTTCGTCCCCACAGACGTTCAACTCTCCGCCTGTCTCCTTGTATTGTTCTGGGCACTCTTCGCCTTTCACGAGATGCAGGAGGACATAACCTCCACACGCGTCATTCCCCAAGATGATCTGTGCCTCCATCTTGGGCATTGATGTACAGACTCCCACCACTAGGGTCTGGCAGCCATATTCGGAATTTAAAGTTACCTGGTGTAGGGGCATCCTCACTGGGCCTCCCACAGTGGTCACACTTGCCACCCCCACACTGGTACTCTTGTAACCCTCGGGGAACAGGGTTTGACTTACCAGGGTAAAGTCAGCCCCGGTGTCTCTTAGCATCTTCACTGGGATGGGGTCTGCGACCCCCATCCTTACGGTTCCTTGACACATAAATGGGTGAACTTTCTTCTCCCCATTTAGCACCGGTTCATCCCGCACTCCCTCGGCCCTCTGGTCCTCGAACATCACTAAAGCAACGTGTCCCCGCTGCTTCGGGCGTCTGCACTCCCGCGCGACGTGTCCGGGTATTCCGCAGTTGTAGCAGCGGCCCCTCGGCGGAGACCATCCGCCACCGCTCGCCTTAGCACTGCCTCCAGAGACCGTCACACCCTGTGTCTTTCCCGCCTCACTTGTCGTTTCTTTCCCTGCAGTAACAGTTCCCGAGCTCTCAGCTTGGTTCTCCCCTATCGGCTCTACAGTACCTTTTGATCCTCGGGTGTTCCAACTTGAGAGATGGGACTTGGGAGAACTCGTTCCTGTCCTCCATCCATCCGTCCTTCTATAACTCCTATCGTTTCCGACGTATGCGGGTGGTCGGTTCTGTCCCTCTCGGCGTGGGCGTAGGGCTTCTTCTAGCATGTCGGCCCGGTCGGCTGCGGCCCTCAGGTCCTTTATGTCCGCCTCCTTTACCCTCATCCTGATCTCAGGAGAGAGCACGGACATAAACTTTTCCATGGCCATTAGTTCCTTGACCTCTTCGACCGACCTTGCTTCTTCAGAGTCCAGCCACTTAAGGAGCTTTCTTTCTATGTCCCTCGCCGTCTCCGCATACGATTTCCTGGCAACCGGGTACATTCTCTAAACCTCTTTCTGTAACACTCTGGCGTGAGCTTAAAGGAACGGAGCACAGCTCGTTTTACCGCATCGTAGTTAGTGCATTCTTGGAAGTCGAGCATAGTGAAGGCTTGGCGAGCTTCCCCTGTGAGCCTTCCTTGGACCAACTCCGCCCACTCCGCCCTCGGCCACCTCTTCATAGCAGCAACTCTCTCAAAGTGATCGAAGAAACTTTCGGCTTCACTAGGCACAAAGACCGGCAGGTCTCGTTCCCTCACTCGTCGGTCTTCCTGTGGCGGGGCAGGGGCACCTAGTCCCAGTTCAGCTCGCTTCAGCTCCACCTCCTGGTTGGCTTCTATTTCCATTTGTCTCAGCCTAACTTCTTGCTCTCGTTCTTCCCTACGCTGCTGTGCTTCTCGCTCTTCTTTGCGCTGCTGTGCCTCTTCTCTCCTCAGCTGCGCTTCTGCTTCTCGCTCTTCTTTGCGCTGCTGTGCTTCTCGCTCTTCTTTGCGCTGCTGTGCTTCTTCTCTCCTCAGCTGCGCTTCTGCTTCTCGCTCTTCTTTGCGCTGCTGTGCTTCTCGCTCTTCCTTGCGCTGCTGCGCTTCTAGCTGCAGCTTCATTATTTCCAGCTTAATGCTGTGCCTGCTGCCGCTGGATCCCCTGCTGCTTCCACCAATACTCAGGTGTTCACCCTCACTGACAGGTGTTTGGGGCCGTTCCTCCCCCAAAGCTTCGTCTCGAGCCTTGAGCTGAGCCATTATCTCTAGTCTTCTTTCACCAACTCGGGCAGATTTCAGCTTTATTCCAAAATGATCCGCTATAGCCTGTAACTGTGCCTTGGTGCACTCTTCCAGCACCTGTTCGTCTCTAGAGTCAATAAACCTCGCTACTTTATCATCCTCCATCTTGTGCTACGAGTGTTAACCTGCACCTGATCTCTAACACCACTGCCAAGTACCACTGCAACCTTTACTCCGATCTATATCCTGGCAAGGTCGCCAATGTTGGGGGTTTCACCTCTCTATTATTCTCTACCCTTACTCTGGGGTGAGCAATAGTTACGCTCAAGGTAACTCACCGTAGCCCTGCGGGTCTTCCCTCGATCCTCACGGCGCCACTGCACGCCAGGAGAGTCTCCCAGTCAATCTTAACGGCCTCTTATTAAGAAAGAGTGAGAACACGACTCGTTCACCTCGACTGTCGTGTGCCCTCCCCAACAATAGGGCTCTACGGTTAAACACAAGGTCGCCAACTGGAGTTTAAGGTGGCCAGTAACACCATCAGTGGACTGGTGTATTTAGTGGTAGCCTTGGCAAGGTCACACTCAAAGATCAGGAATCAGGCAGGTACTTATTGTTATCACTCTATGTTTACCAGTATAATATAGCCACAAGATCAATGGAGGGGATGATAAAAACACAAAGAGAGTTTTGTATTTTACTTAAAATGTATGAAAGATGTCACAAAGCCAAACAATAATCAATTAATCAACTGATCCTGACGCGGCCGATAATTCCCACGGATATTATGTGATCATAAGGTGGCAACATCTCCCTTCCTCATCAAGTGTCAAGAACAGCTGATCGCAATGGCCTCTCCGCGCGAACTTTGCTTGTTTTCTAGATTCGCTGTTTCGTTAAATTCTCCAATATTACTAGAAACTCGCACACTCGATATTGGCTAAATAAACCGGATTACTCAGTTACACTGTACTCAGGCTCAAACAGTCTTTTCTACAATCAATGCTATAATGATTCACTGTAATGGCTTCACATTGTTCTTCACTCAACAATATATTATGAACTATTAACACTGGAGTTTTCAGTATTTTCTCTCGTTGGCGATAACGCAATAATTCACTGTACTCACAAACGATTATTCACTGAATGAACATAGACATATATATGGTATATAAATCAATCATCAATACATGGAAAATAAATAGTTTCTGGGCACATAGCCTAACCTCCAAATACTGGCATAATCTTATATATATTTTACCACTATATGTTCATATCAAAATCTATAGAAAGATATACACAACACAGTAAATTTATCACTGGTTCCTGGTGCCTGTACACACCAATAATCAACATGAATATTACAAGTACTCTTGATAGTACTGTCTAGCACACTGGTGCTTTACCATGACATGGGTGAGACTTGCTCACGACATATAAAATCCTCAGGCTAGAAAATATAGCCAAATAACATAGCTAACTAAAGGGGAATGGGGAGGGAACTAGAAACACCTACTTCACCCTATCCTCCGATGAGAGTCGAGATGTAGCTCCTGGTCCTCGTGTCGGGAACGCCCCCACACTACACGTCGTCGTGTCCTACCAGAGCCTCTCGTCGTCCCACCGTTTAGCGCGTCGTCTCCGTGCCTCCTCACTGCAGGTCCGTCCTCCTTCTTGACTTCTTGAAGGTTGGAGTCGGTCTCCTGGCCGTCGTCTTCTCCCAGCAACGGCTGTCGCCTACGTCTCAGCTACGGTCGTTCGGTTTCCCCAAATAGTCCTCTCTTCCTCAGCTACCCAGTGGCTCTGTCTGCCACTACGCTGTCACGAACTGGTGAATTGCCACAGACGTCAACATACGTCACTGCACGGCTTCACTGCTACTGGCACAGTACCTGACTGGAGCACTTGTTGCTCAAATAACCGTCAATTCCCTCTTCTGGTTCAACACATGAACTAGGGAAGACTTCTCAGAGTACTGGCGGACTTCCGGTGACGCGTAAATCCACGGGAGCTGGAATAACTGTCCGACCGACAGGACCACTCGTCGCACGTCCGACCTCTATGACGTGTCGTGTCTGACTGATGGCGCCAGCTCGGCGCGCTGGCCGGACCCCCTTCCTTCGTGACGTCACTTTCGCCACGGGAGGTTTTCATTGGCTCCCGGTGCCACACTGCTGTCGGTGACCAATCCGGTGCCACTGACGTCACACGGTTTTGGCGGGAGATCAGGGAGGTAAGCGCCATCTTGGCTCCCTAAAGGGCCTATACCACAGGCCAAAATATTACTATTTCACAAATTTCTCGGCTCTCCGAGAACACTTCACTCTCTCCCATGTATCAAATTGTAGCCTGCAACGTAGAGAACGCTTGGGAAAAGTAGACATGACTCTTACTGCAGGCGTGGGAGAATTATAAGGGGGGGAACTCCGTCACAATATATATATATATATATATATATATATATATATATATATATATATATATATATATATATATATATATATATATATATATATATATATGCGAACAATCTTGAATGTACCCAATGTATATATATATATATATATATATATATATATATATATATATATATATATATATATATATATATATATATATATATATATATATATATATATATATGCGAACAATCTTGAATGTACCCAAGCCAATATGCAACTGAAAACTCCACACCCTAGAAGGATTCGAACCCAGACAGGCAGGAACACAATGCAACTGGCGTACCCCGTACCTTAACCACTCGACCAACCGTGACTGTACAAAAGACATTGGTATGCCCAAGCTTACCACCAAGTGATGTCGGGACCTTGAAATCGAGGAGTTGAAGGAAACTCTACCTGACAGCGTTTAGTCAAGGAGACTCAAAGAACCCGAACGTTGAAAGCTCGCAGTCGTTTATACCTCGGGGGAAATTCAGCAAAGTTACATATTGTCCGCCATCCATCATACGCTGGAGCCACTCAATGAATGGCTGGACATTGCGTTTACCTCTATGTTTGCCGCCCGTTACCTGTGGGCAATCGTTGGTTAGCAATTAGCAAACGTATCTCATGAAGTGTAAATGTGCGTCCACCACGTGCCTGCGTCCACCGCGTGCCTGCGTCCACCACGTGCCTGCATCCATCACGTGCCTGCGTCCACCACGTGCCTGCGTCCACCACGTGCCTGCGTCCATCACGTGCCTGCATCCATCACGTGCTTGCGTCCACCACGTGCCTGCGTCCACCACGTGCCTGCATCCATCACGTGCCTGCGTCCACCACGTGCCTGCGTCCACCATGTGCCTGCGTCCACCACGTGCCTGCGTCCATCACGTGCCTGCGTCCACCACGTGCCTGCGTCCACCACGTGCCTGCGTCCACCACGTGCCTGCATCCATCACGTACCTGCGTCCACCACGTGCCTGCGTCCACCATGTGCCTGCGTCCACCATGTGCCTGCGTCCACCATGTGCCGGCGTCCACCATGTGCCGGCGTCCACTACGTGCCTGCGTCCACCACGTGCCTGCGTCCACCATGTGCCTGCGTCCACCATGTGCCTGCGTCCACCATGTGCCGGCGTCCACTACGTGCCTGCGTCCACCATGTGCCTGCGTCCACCATGTGCCTGCGTCCACCATGTGCCTGCGTCCACCATGTGCCTGCGTCCACCATGTGCCTGCGTCCACCATGTGCCTGCGTCCACCATGTGCCTGCGTCCACTACGTGCCTGCGTCCACCATGTGACTGCGTCCACCATGTGCCTGCGTCCACTACGTGCCTGCGTCCACCATGTGACTGCGTCCACCATGTGCCTGCGTCACCCATGTGCCTGCGTCCACTACGTGCCTGCGTCCACCATGTGCCTGCGTCCACCATGTGCCTGCGTCCACTACGTGCCTGCGTCCACTACGTGCCTGCGTCCACCATGTGCCTGCGTCCACCATGTGCCTGCGTCCACCACGTGCCTGCGTGTACCACGTGCCTGCGTCCAACACGTGCCTGCGTCCACCACGTGCCTGCGTCCACTACGTGCCTGCGTCCACCACGTGCTTGCGTCCACCACGTGCCTGCGTCCACCATGTGCCTGCGTCCACCATGTGCCTGCGTCCACCATGTGCCTGCGTCCACCACGTGCCTGCGTCCACTACGTGCCTGCGTCCACCACGTGCTTGCGTCCACCACGTGCCTGCGTCCACCACGTGCCTGCGTCCACCACATGCCTGCGTCCACTACGTGCCTGCGTCCACCACGTGCTTGCGTCCACCACGTGCCTGCGTCCACCATGTGCCTGCGTCCACCATGTGCCTGCGTCCACCATGTGCCTGCGTCCACCACGTGCCTGCGTCCACTACGTGCCTGCGTCCACCACGTGCTTGCGTCCACCACGTGCCTGCGTCCACTACGTGCCTGCGTCCACCACGTGCTTGCGTCCACCACGTGCTTGCGTCCACCACGTGCCTGCGTCCACCACGGTGTATCATGGTTGAATAACAATTTAATGGATGAACAGGGGTTGTAGCCGGCTCCTTTATGAGGCAGCTGTGGCCGGATGGACAGCAGATCAGCGCTCTGGTTATCAGTTTGGCAGAATGAGAAAAATACCCAAAAAATGGGATAACGAAAAATGATGAACTAAACGAAATAATTTACTTGAAATTAATTTTGTAATAGAGATTACATACATAAAGATAATAGATAACATACATAATAAAATTATATAAAGTAAAGCTAACTAAAATTGTAAGATTGAATGTTGAATAATTAAGGGTTATTTAAAATTACCTTAACGTTGCACAATGTAGCGTGTTGAATTACTGAATAAAATTTGTCTACAAAATCAGTAACTACATCTTCCAATTTCTGCAATGGTTCTTCCAGCATAGAGCTGTCACCACGTGCCGTGGAGACAGCGAGTGGTAGCTGCCCTAAAGTTGGCAGCGGACGGCGTCTGTATATATCCTAAGGTTGATAAACAACGCAACCTCAGATGGTTCTGAAAATTACATGAAATATTTTAAAGACAATATTGACATTTAGAAAACCAGTCACCAAATGCCGGCGATGAGTCACAATAACGTGGCTAAAGTATGTTGACCAGACCACACCACGACGAAACGTCGTCGTCCCTTCACCTTCTAGTGTGTGGTCTGGTCAACCAGTCCCCAAATGTTCTGTATTTTTATCTTTGACTTCCAGTCTGTACATTTGTGTAAGAGCAATATAAACCCATGATTTGACACGTCTTGGAGATCTGATAATAATTAATTTATTAATTTTCAGGAAGAAAGGGTCACTTTATCATTGATCCATCATGAAGAACATTAAATCTTTCAATTATCGTTGTGCATTTTGCACTCCGTTTGCTCATCATAAAAAGTTTATAAATTAAAAGATCGAATGACTGTAGTAATATTTTTGGCTATTGCTTAACCCGAGAATTATTCCTGCCACCTTCAGCAAAATATATTTTTCTAGTTATTAAGATATTGTAATCTGCTTCCAGCTGGATGGTGGGCTTTCTTTTATCAAACCATCAAACATTGAGCTTGTTCAAGAGATATCAAACATCAGTTCATGAAAACGCACAAATAACGGTAACTACTGAAGGACTATTGACCTACAACCAGTAAATCCGATTTACATGATCCAAGCTCATTTAAATATTTGTCAAACCTCCGCTTGAATCAATATTGCATTTCACATTGCTCATTACCAACTTCTGTGTCCATGTACTTCAGTTTTGTTGTACTAAACAGCTAATTATATTTAGCTAAAATGTAGTAGTAAATGTTAGGACAGCCAAGCATATGTATCAACATATGTAAAATAAATTCCATAAACAGGATTTTATTAAATCAAATGTTCTCTGCCAATTACAATAAATATAGAATGATGATTAGATATTTATATATGACAGTTTGATTTTTCATATTTTCTCAGCAATGAAGTAGACTTCGTATTTTATTGTACCCATGAGCAAAAATTGTATTATTTATTCCCGTTTAATGCTGAAGAAATATTATTGTGATTTTAAATTAACATTAAATAAAATGGAGCATTGTGAAACCTGGTATAAATCAACTTTCGAATAATGTGACGTATATATTATATATTTCGAATATTGTTAAGTATAAATTATATCTTTCGAGCATCGTTAAGTATAAATTACATGTTCAGAACAGTGTAAAGCAAAAACAATTCAGCACTGTGGAGATATGCCCGACACACCAGGAGCCACCGCACACAAGACACACCAGGAGCCACCACACAAGACACACCTGGAGCCCCCACACACAAGACACACCTGGAGCCCCCACACACAAGACACACCAGGAGCCACCACACACAAGACACACCAGGAGCCACCACACACAAGACACACCAGGAGCCACCACACACAAGACACACCAGGAGCCACCACACACAAGACACACCAGGAGCCACCACACACAAGACACACCAGGAGCCACCACACACAAGACACACCAGGAGCCACCACACACAAGACACACCAGGAGCCACCACACACAAGACACACCAGGAGCCACCACACACAAGACACATCAGGAGCCACCACACACACGACACATCAGGAGCCACCACACAAGACACACCAGGAGCCACCACACAAGACACACCTGGAGCCACCACACAAGACACACCTGGAGCCACCACACAAGACACACCAGGAGCCACCACACAAGACACACCAGGAGCCACCACACACAAGACACATCAGGAGCCACCACACAAGACACACCAGGAGCCACCACACATGACACACCAGGAGCCACCACACATGACACACCAGGAGCCACCACACACAAGACACACCAGGAGCCACCACACAAGACACACCTGGAGCCACCACACAAGACACACCTGGAGCCACCACACAAGACACCAGGAGCCACCACACAAGAGACACACCAGGAGCCACCACACAAGACACACCAGGAGCCACCACACACAAGACACACCAGGAGCCACCACACACAAGACACACCAGGAGCCACCACACACAAGACACCTGGAACCACCACACACAAGACACACCTGGAGCCACCACACACAAGACACACCAGGAGTCACCACACACAAGACACACCAGGAGCCACCACACACAAGACACACCAGGAGCCACCACACACAAGACACCTGGAGCCACCACAAAAGACACATCAGGAGCCACCACACAAGACACACCAGGAGCCACCACACAAGACACATCAGGAGCCACCACACACAAGACACATCAGGAGCCACCACACAAGACACACCAGGAGCCACCACACAAGACACATCAGGAGCCACCACACACAAGACACATCAGGAGCCACCACACACAAGACACATCAGGAGCCACCACACACAAGACACATCAGGAGCCACCACACACAAGACACATCAGGAGCCACCACAAACAAGACACATCAGGAGCCACCACACACAAGACACATCAGGAGCCACCACACACAAGACACACCAGGAGCCGCCACACAAGACACACCTGGAGCCCCCACACAAGACACACCTGGAGCCATCACACAAGACACACCAGGAGCCACCACACAATACACACCTGGAGCCACCACACAAGACACACCAGGAGCCACCACACAAGACACACCAGGAGCCACCACACAAGACACACCAGGAGCCACCACACACAAGACACATCAGGAGCCACCACACACAAGACACATCAGGAGCCACCACACAAGACACACCAGGAGCCACCACACAAGACACACCTGGAGCCACCACACAAGACACACCTGGAGCCACCACACAAGACACACCAGGAGCCACCACACAAGACACACCAGGAGACACCACACACAAGACACATCAGGAGCCACCACACAAGACACACCAGGAGCCACCACACATGACACACCAGGAGCCACCACACAAGACACACCTGGAGCCACCACACAAGACATACCTGGAGTCACCACACAAGACACACCAGGAGCCACCACACAAGAGACACACCAGGAGCCACCACACAAGACACACCAGGAGCCACCACATACAAGACACATCAGGAGCCACCACACAAGACACACCAGGAGCCACCACACACAAGACACATCAGGAGCCACCACACAATACACACCTGGAGTCACCACACAAGACACACCTGGAGCCACCACACAAGACACACCAGGAGCCACCACACAAGACACACCAGGAGCCACCACACAAGACACACCAGGAGCTACCACACAAGACACACCAGGAGCCACCACACAAGAGACACACCAGGAGCCACCACACAAGACACACCTGGAGCCACCACACAAGACACACCAGGAGCCACCACACAAGACACACACCAGCAGCCACCACACAAGACACCTGGAGCCACCACACAAGACACACCTGGAGCCACCACACAAGACACACCAGTAGCTACCACACAAGACACACCAGGAGCCACCACACAAGACACACCAGGAGCCACCACACAAGACACCTGGAGCTACCACACAAGACACACCAGGAGCCACCACACAAGACACACCAGGAGCCACCACACAAGACACACCAGGAGCCACCACACAAGACACACCAGGAGCCACCACACAAGACACACCAGGAGCCACCACACAAGACACACCTGGAGCCACCACACAAGGCACACCAGGAGCCACCACACATGACACACCAGGAGCCACCACACACGACACACCAGGAGCCACCACACAAGACACACCAGGAGCCACCACACAAGACACACGTGGAGCCACCACGCAAGACACACCTGGAGCCACCACACAAGACACACCAGGAGCCACCACACAAGACACACCAGGAGCCAACACACACGACACACCAGGAGCCACCACACACGACACACCTGGAGCCACCACACAAGACACACCTGGAGCCACCACACAAGACACCTGGAGCCACCTCACAAGACACACCTGGAGCCACCACACAAGGCACACCTGGAGCCACCACACAAGACACACCAGGAGCCACCACACATGACACACCTGGAGCCACCACACAAGACACACCAGGAGCCACCACACAAGACACACCAGGAGCCACCACACAAGACACACCAGGAGCCACCACACACAAGACACACCAGGAGCCACCACACACAAGACACACCAGGAGCCACCACACAAGACACACCAGCAGCCACCACACAAGACACACCTGGAGCCACCACACAAGACACACCAGGAGCCACCACACACGACACACCTGGAGCCACCACACATGACACACGTGGAGCCACCACACAAGACACACCTGGAGCCACCACACAAGACACACCTGGAGCCACCACACAAGAGACACACACACTGTGATCCACTGGCCAAGGCCGGACAGCAAAATATGGGGTCCTCCTGAGGGAATCAGGGGACCCAATTTGCTTAATAACAGCTGGTGTTCCTGCTGTCAGGCTCACACTGCCATTACATGCTGGCAGGAAGGTCCCGCTGCTCCGGGGAGTAGCAGG